TATATATAGAAAAATAAGAGAGAAAGGATCCATTTATACGTTTTACGTTCCTGCTCCTTTCGAAATTTAATTTAATTATCTTTATTGCCTTTCGTTATTGCTGTTAATTATACGTAACAGAGAGAGAGAGAAAGATATAGAGACAAGGCGGAAAATACGGTTGAAATCGTGACCGAAATTGGCGGATCCCGGGGAGGGTACCAAGATTTCACGGCGTTATGATTATTCTGCTCGTTTTTAATTTCAAACGAGCCTCGCAGCGCTGTTTGTTTTTTTTTAATGACGATTGAAATTGCCCTCGGACGGAAGGAAGGAAGAAAAACGATACGACGCGAATATTTTCAAGTTTTTTAAAAAACATTGAAAACGTCCTTCCTCCTCCTCCTCCTCCTTCTCCTTCTCCCCGGGCAAAGAAAAGTTTTTCCCCGTGCGAAAGTGTTTGTTACGTCGGTTTATGGGAAAAATATGGGATACGTTTTTTTGTCGCGGTTAAGGGGTTCACGTGACAAAGGTGATTTTCAAACTTTCCAAGTATCACTTATACACTTCTCCCGGGTATCTGCCCGGCCCCATTAAGTAGTTAAACTCGTGTTTTTTGTTCCCTTCTTTTTTCCCCTCTCTCTCTTTCTCCCTTTCTTCCTCCCTCTTCTGCTCTCCTCGTCGCCTCAAGAGTGTATTTAACGCGCAAGAAGGTCTGAAGGAGAAGTTGGGTCGGTTTCAAATTTATTATTGGAATAACGAAAGTATTAAAAGTTGAGGGCAACGAGCGTGGGCCGATATCGGAATTTAGTTTAGAGGGAAACGGAGCGGGGAAAGGATCGTTAGATATCTTGGCGTTTAATTAATTCGTTACGTTGCGGGAGAAGTATTGAAAGGGTGAGGTGAAAAATAGGAATGCGGTCCTCGGTGGAGGAGGAGAAGGTGGAAGGTCGAGATGTCGAAGTTGGCGGAATCTTGCTAAGAATGCCGCGTCCGATTACCCCCTTGGAAACTTCTTGGAACGTGCCTGGAGTTACAANNCCCTCTCTCTCCTCCTCTGCGATTATATATATATATATATATATATATACGTTTTCTTTAACCCTTCTTTCCCCTTTGCACAACACCTTTGTGTTGATCTAGTAAAAGGATAAGAGATCGCGAGGATGAAATGTGCAAATGAACAAAGGGTGGTTCGAGAAAATATTTGAAACGTTTAAGGAAGAAGCGAATAAGCGAGGGTTGAAAAGTAAAAAAATTCGCTAGGAAAGAAAATTGATTTCGAGAAATTATCGTTCGTTAATGGGATGCACTCTCGCGTTGAGAGTTATTCGCTCGTGGAGGAACACTCTCTCGACGATTTTTCCCTCTCAAACGAACCTTAAAAAAAGTATCACGGATCGCTTCGGTTCTGGCAGAGTATTGTTGTAATCGATACGAATATCGCGGATCGCTGCGTTGATTGGAATAAATCCCATTGGACGCCCGCGAAGATCAATATCTGTTCTGAATAAAAATAAAAAAAAAAAAACGATACGAATATATTTGAAAAAAAGGAAGAAATAAATAAAATTCGCGAGAATTGGAAAACTTTTTTTCATTCATCGAGCGTCATAAAAGACGTTAAGATTTCAAACTTCTCATTCTCGACACTCTCCACACTTTCGCCCCATCTCGAGTGAAATTACATCGTTAATTAAACTCCAAGTATCGTTACAATTATAATTACGCGAGAATACGAAAGATTATTCGAGAAAAAAAAAAAGAAAAGAAAAAAAGAACTTGTTCTTGTTCCAGATTAAAAGCGGAGAACCTCGGTGGCGCTTGGTGTCCCAAGAATCAGATCACCCAAGAAGCCCGGGAATGGTTGGAGATCGACCTTCATACGGTTCACTTGATCACGGCTACCGCCACGCAAGGTCGGTTCGGGAACGGTCTCGGTGTCGAGTATGCAGAGGCGTATCTCCTCGAGTACTGGCGACCGCGTCTGGGCAAGTGGGTCCGATACAGAGATATCAAAGGGAAAGAGGTGAGTGCTGCCTTATCTCGCTCGAATTCCATTAACTAATTCACCGACGGCCTCGATCTTCCTTTCCTCGACTTCCTCGGACCTATCTCGGATCGAATCGACCGGACCGTTTAAATTCCAATTCGTGTCCGAGCGTGTCAGAGTGTGCGTGCCTCTGTGTGGGTGTGACAAGTAGCGGGTGTATTTAAAACCTAGGGATAACGTGGAGAAATAATTCGTATATATAAACGATACGTGTAAATTTCAGTTTTAATTAATATATTACCTTAAAGTAGACTTGATTTCAAACTCATTGAGGATTAAGATTATATATAATATATAAATAAATAGGGTTGCAAGAGAGGAAAAATGTAGGATTTCCTGTCGAAAAGTTGCAGTATATTTCGCGATCTTTGACTTTCTTACGAATTTAAATAAGAGCTCGTTCAAATTGTTAAAATTATGCGAATCTTTCCGTTTTCGTCGAAAACAAATTATCGTCCATTACGATTACTGTTAACCGGTCATCATCGATACGATATTATAATATAGTTAGAAACGGTGTTTGGCAATATCGATGCGAATAAACGTTTCGAGGAAGCAGCGTAACAGTGACGAGCGAGATTGATAAAAACGGTTCACGATATCGTGATTTATGAAGAACGATACGCGCATCTGCTCGCCGCCGATCGGCGGCAGCTGCGCCCAGAATAGTCGAAACTGAATTGGCGGCGGGGTTGGTCATTGGCCTGAAATAATAATTCCGTGCCGATTAAAGCCGCGTGATTCTGTTATTCCTGGTGGTGCTCTTGAAACGAAATGGGAGGGAGAGAGCAGACGATCAAGAATCGAAGACCAAGGATTATCCCGGTCGGGACGTAAGCAGCTTATCGCGAATCCGTAAGCTAATTTCGTACCGGTGATGCGCCACTTTGTCGAGGCCTGTTCTCGGACAGGCTGATGCTGCCTCGCGGTCTTTCAGCTCCAGAGTTTCGCCCGTGAATAATACTGCAACTTTTCGACAGGAAATCCTACATTTTTCCTCTCTTGCAACTCTATTTATTTATATATTATATATAATCTTAATCCTCAATGAGTTTGAAATCAAGTCTACTTTAAGGTAATATATTAATTAAAATGGAATGGGGAATGAGCGACAGGATTGATTTTTCGCTTCGCTTCCCGCGTCACTCTTTACGGTATTATTTCAACGTTTAAGTGAAATTCTCGAAGGAGAAGAATTTTGTTTTCTCTGCTCGAAAAAATAATCATTTGCAAATGGATAGGTAGAGATAGGTAAAATGAATAATTCAACGGATAAAACGAAATTTCTAGTAACAATCGTTTTATCTTTTACCAAGTTTCAAAGTTTCGCCAATCAAGCCTCGCATAAACCTGTCAATAACCCGATAAACTTCAAGATAAATTAAACGCGCGACTCGTAAGGAAAATTACTCGTCGAGGAAAATTATTAAGAGCGCCTTTGGAAAATAGCTCGAGGGGGAGGTTATATTTTAATTATAATTCGAGTATCTTTTTATTTATTTATTTTTTTGCCAAACTTATCCACCTTGTTCATCATCGACCCGAGCGATAGGTGCGCCTATTACTTCAAACTCGATCCCAAAAAAACGTGACATTGAACGAATTCCAATCTCGATTTAACGTTGCTACCGACGTGCAACGATTATTATACGTCGCCCCCGAAAAACGAAACGAAAAAAAGCTCGGACAGCCGACCGACAGGCAAATTGCTCGTCCTCCTCCTTCGGTATGGATGCTCGCCTCGGATCTTATTAATATTGATGGACCAAGCGAGGCAGGACTTAACGTGGCAAGGGACCGCGGTCTCTCCGAGCCACCGTCGCGTGTTCCACCTCGTGATTTCGTGTAAAGTCTAATTTGCACGCCGATACGATCGCCACGCTTCGACCCTCTTCCACCTTCGATAGAAATTAGCGCGCTTACGAGTGATTTGTAGCAGATATCTCGCTCGCTTTCGTGACGCGATTTCATGTAACGAGAAAGAAAAAAAAGGAATCTGACAGGATATTTTCCTCTCTAGGAAAAGGAAAAGAAAAAAAGAGGGAGAAAAGAGGGAGCGTGAATTTATTTATATAAAGCTATCAACTCGAGGATCGAGGTCTCGAAGATGGATAGATTGGATTAAATAATTAAACTTTGCACGTGAGAAAAATTCTTACTTCCAGTGTGCAAAGTGGAATTTTCTTCGTAGAGAGAGAGAGAGAGAGAGAGAGGGGAGATCGTTTGGCAAATTCGATCTATCCGTCTCTGTCTACGCCCGGTGTCCACTCGCAGCCTTATTAATATTGATGGGCCACTTGCGCCGGCGCTAATGCGCCAACGACAACGAGGCCTACAACGAAAACGAGGCTACGCCTTATACCGCCGTCACGTGTCCACTCCTTGTGATCTCACGCGAAGATGAACGCAACTTCCATCCTCGTGGCCTCATGATTATTCTATACTGATTCGCGATCGAGTTATATACTCCTCCCCCTTCTCTTTCTTCCCAATTATCGGGAAGAGGCTGCCCGTCCATCCTACGCTGTGAATTGAACGATTACAACCGGTTGAACATCAGAAGATCGAGTAACATCCCGAGTTGATTGAAAATCACTCTTCACAAGTGGATCGTTCAATTAATAAAAGATAAGAGGATGCATTTGAAATGAGACGAGAGAAAGAGAGAGCGGTATAAATAACGCGATGCTTTTAATTGTAAGGTAACTAGATATATAAGAAAAAAATTTCGCTTTACTTTTTCTTTGACAAGAATCACAATATTCCATTCGAATTAACTCTAAGTTAACGATTCGATCGAAAATATCGTAAAAATCGTTTAATAAATTAACATATAAGCATCGAAAAATTTTATTACGAATATTGTTATTATTAATGAATTAATTTCTTTGAAAACACCTCTCTCGAAAACGACGAGATTCCTTAATTTAATAAACCTTGATCTTTTTTCTTTTTATTACGAAGCTGCGTCGCACACGTGCAGCTCGACCACGATAAAATTTTTCGAATATTTTTCGCGAAATTATCCGTGGAAGGAGAAGAGAGAGAAAGAGAGATGGATAGAGAGAATAGTTGTCTGGAATACCAGCAGGTGCGCGACGACTCGAAAGATCGAAAGTTTTTTCTCGAGTTTTCGCCATGCGACGCCATTTTCGCCTTTTCGTACGTGCGTTACAGACGTGTGTGACATTAGCTCGTGGTTGTTCGCGTATCGCGGCTAAGTTGCACCGCCGCGTAATAATAATAATTGTCACGAAACGAAAAAGAAGGAGGAGCGGGGGGGTTGAAAAGACCGGCAGAGGTAATTAAGGCTCGGGGCGTGCAACAAGCTTCTCCTTTCTATTCGGTTCTACCGAATGCGAGTGCACGTTCTGGGGCAAGGAGGCCTCGTTTCCCGCGAGGCTCGACTTCGATAATGAACAGTTGCTTCGGATCGAGAACACGGGGAGGAGGGGAGGGGAGGGGTAATTAAATCTTAACCATGCTATGTAATAACTTTTAGACGGATGTTTCCAATTTTTGCTTCCAAATTTTCAGACGGAATTTTTAGACGTTTCAATTGTAAGAAATAATAACGGTGGAAATTCTGATCGGAAGGAAGATTGGAACGAGGAAAAATTTCGTGTAGTGTCAAAGACGAGACTGATTTCTGATAAAACTTTCATCGTAGCGCGATAAAAAAGAAGAAGAAGAAAAAAATTAGACTTCTCGTTTCTGAGAAAATTAAACGTAAAAATTCCACCCTCCCTTATATATAACTTTCTCGATTTAATAATTCGAATAAGAGGATGGATGGATACGTACGTATTTAACAATGTAAATGCCACTACTTCTTTTGAATCCAATGCAAATTCGCGAAGAAATACCATCCGTTTGAGACTCGAGAAATTTTTCCTTCTTTATCTCACCGACCCAGCCTTGTTTGGAAGAAGGGAGAGGTCTCGTTGCTTACTTCCTGACGCAAACATTTCATCCGGATTCCGAAACGAAATGATTTCGCGATAAAAGAATGCATTCTTCTGCCTTTCTTCCATTTACGCAACGAAGCTGAAAGGAAAACGAGAGATTTCTTGTTTCAACGAAACGAACTCCCGTTCTCGCGGTTCATCGACGTTCTTCTTCTTCTCCTCCTCCTCCTCTTATTCCCCGTTTTAATCGTCTTGACACGCTCCTCTCCTCGTCAATGTCCTCTTCTTTCTTTCGAAAAAGAAAACCGATGAGAACGATCGAGCAAGAAAAGAAAAGAGAAAATGGAAAAACGGAGCCGTGATATTCGAAGCACCTCGCAATCGTTCTATTTTTTACCATCCGTCTTTCTTTATATATATTTATACAAGGTAAGAATTGCACGTGTTTTGATAAAAAAAAAAAAAAATTGTTACGTCGACAGGAATACGCGAAATTTGATCATCGAGGATTTCATAGAAAGAATGTTTTCTCAAAGAATGATACAGAAATTGTTACGACAGTAGTTGGAAGATGGGATGGACGATAAAAATGATGGATGGATTTTCCTTACATTTTTAAAAACCCATCTTCCAGTTTTATACCGGGAAAATATCGCTCGATGTTTAACGTAGTTTCAACGCATATAACACGTAGTTTTATCCCAGTTTGAAAGAGATGCGCGTGATTTTCTTAATCCCCAATTCCCTGAACGGGTTGGCCGGATCAATAATCGCTTGACCTCCCAGGTCACCAGGATTTAACGCAGCTTGACTTTTCTTTTTTTTTTTTTATTCGCCGTACAAAGCATTTTGATACGTGGAAAAGTAGAATCGAGGCAAAGTTTCTTTGTCGAGAATACGTACTTTTTTCTTTCTTTCTTTCTTTCTAAAAATTGAAAATAAATAAAAAGGGGGGAAATTTTTTATTTTGACGAGTGAACGGTTAATATTAACGAATCTACGAACAAATGTCGCGATTTAAAATGAACGTAAAAATTGCGTATCGTTAATTTTTAATTCATTCGTCTA